TAGCCAGCCCGTGCCCCTTTAAGGGGTCCGGGGCCGAGAAGGGGGCAGAAGAGTTTCCCTGGTGTTGGCCAGAGTGGCCACTAGGGAAAGCTGGGGAGGGCTAGCCTCCCACTAGTTCGAATTAAGGGGCTACACACCCCTTAATTCGAACTAGCTAGTTCGAACTAGGCTTAATCCTCGTGGAATGAGGATTACCTAGTTCGAACTAAGCGCTCCGTTAGTTCAAATTAAATTCGAACTAGCGGAGCGCTAGTGTAGCGCCTATCAAAGTTAGTTGGAACTAACGTCCGTTAGTTCGAACTAACTTTGTAGTGTAGACATACCCATACTGAGGTCCTGTCTAGGCCTATATTTCTCTGATTCTGTGATTCTCTCTGCCACCAAAATCAACGGCAAAATGCTTTGATTTTATTAGCAGTACGTTATGATTGCAAGTGAGAACTGAGCAACATAAGCATTAGACTCTTCTACATTATCCCCATCCTCCTTAGCAAATGTTAGTCCATTGAAGCTTTTCAACAAAATGGTTACTTCAAATATAATACATCTCCCTTATGGGAGTGAAAACAACAGGAACCTACAGAAATATAATAGGTATCTATAGTTATTACTCTGAGTCTATAGAATGAAATTCTTTCTATATAGGTACAGATATAATTTTTCTATTAAAGTCTACAGGATGCTCCCAAAACCCTATTAACTAAATGTTTAATTCCACAGGCCTTTACTATCAGGGTCATGGTAAATGAGGAGGCAATCAGATCACCTGTTTTTATTCAGCTAACCCATATAATACAAAATAGGAGAAAATAATGCAGAATATATATAAGTAGAATGTTTCCACATACAATACTTTCTAAGAGGTGTTAACAACTCTTTGAAATATCCCTTTGAGCTTTGCAAAGCCAGTTCAATTTCTATGAGACTCAGTACAATTATGCTGTAGCTCGTAACACTTCCTGCTTTTTATGACTGGGTTTGTAAATCCTGGGGCTGTCTACCCTAACAATTAACTTTAACACACCTCTAACAATTCAACGTAAAAGTTAAGTTCCAAAAGGCAGCCTTAAAATAACTGTCTTTAGCTCTGTGAAGTAGCACCAATTTCTATGCCACTCAATATAATTATACTGTAACACTCCCTAACCTTTCTAAAAATGAAAATTAAATTAAATCCCTTTCCTACAGGTGTATTAGAAGAAATGATTGTACTTCAGTACAGTGTGGATATAGCCAAGCCTCGTTCCTGTACAGAAGCTTCAGGAACGTCAAAAGAAATCAGGTAAGGCATGGAAATGGCAGAGATGCTCAATGACTTCTTTGTTTCAGTCTTTACCGAGAAGTCTGTAGGAATGCCTAACATAAGGAATGCTAGTAGAAAGGGGGCAATTTTAGAAGGTAAAATAAAAAAAGAACAAGTTAAAAATCACCTAGAAAAGTTAGATGCCTGCGAGTCACCAGGGCCTGATGAAATGCATCCTAGAATACTCAAGGAGCTGATAGAGGAGATATCTGAGCCTCTAGCTATCATCTTTGGAAAATCATGGGAGACAGGAGAGATTCCAGAAGACTGGAAAAGGGCAAATAGAGTGCCCATCTATAAAAAGGGAAATAAGAACAATCCAGGAAACTACAGACCAGTTAGTTTAACTTCTGCGCCAGGGAAGATAATGGAGCAAGTAATTAAGGAAATCATCTGTAAACACTTGGAAGGTGGCAAAGTGATAGGGAACAGCCAGCATGAATTTGTAAGAACAAATCATGTCAAACCAATCTGATAGCTTTCTTTAATAGGATAACAAGTCTTGTGGATAAGGGAGAAGCAGTGGATGTGGTCTACCTAGACTTTAGTAAGGTGTTTGATACGGTCTCGCATGATATTCTTATCAATAAACTTAGATGGGGCTATTATAAGGTGGGTGCATAACTGGCTGGATAACCATACTCAGAGAGTAGTTATTAATGGTTCACAATCCTGCTGGAAAGGCATAACAAGTGGGGTTCTGCAGGGGTCTGTTTTGGGACCGGCTCTGTTCAATATCTTCATCAACCATTTAGATATTGGTATAGAAAGTACACTTAGTAAGTTTGCAGATGATACCATGCTGGGAGGGATTGTGACTAATCTGGAGGATAGGGTCATAATTCAAAATGATCTGGACAAATTGGAGAAATGGTCTGAGATAAATAGGATGAAGTTTAATAAAGACAAATGCAAAGTGCTCCACTTAGGAAGGAACAATCAGCTTCACACGTACAGAATGGGAAGCGACGGTCTGGGAAGGAATACGGCAGAAAGGGATCTAGGGGTTATAGTGGACCTCAAGTTAAATAGGAGTCAGCAGTGTGATGCTGTTGCAAAGAAAGCAAACATGATTCTGGGATGTATTAACAGGTGTGTTGCGAGCAAGACACGAGAAGTCATTCTTCCGCTCTACTCTGCGCTGGTTAGGCCTCAATTGGAGTATTGTGTGCAGTTCTGGGCACCGCATTTCAAGAAATATGTGGAAAAATTGGAGAGGGTCCAGAGAAGAGCAACAAGAATAATTAAAGGTCTAGAGAACATGACCTAAGAGGGAAGGCTGAAGGAATTGGGTTTGTTTAGTTTAGAAAAGAGAAGATTGAGGGGAGACATGATAGCAGTTTTCAGATATCTAAAAGGGTGTCATAAGGAAGAGGGAGAAAACTTGTTCATCTTGGCCTCGGAGGATAGAACAAGAAGCAATGGGCTTAAACTGCAGCAAGGGAGGTTTAGGTTGGACATTTGGAAAAAGTTCCTAACTATCAGGGTGGTCAAACACTGGACTAAATTTGCCCAGGGAGGTTGTGGTATCCCCATCTCTGGAGATATTTAAGAGTAGGTTAGGTAAATGTCTATCAGGGATGGTCTAGACAGTATTTGGTCCTGCCATGAGGGCAGGGGACTGGACTCGATGACCTCTCGAGGTCCCTTCCAGTCCTAGTATTCTGTGATTAGCATGCTCTTTCAATTAGTATTTCAAAGAAAAAAATAAAAATCACATATTTTATATTTCTAACAGAAAGTCAAATTTTATTACCAAAAGAAAGGCTACAACTAAACTACACCCCTCTGTCAGCAGAGGGATGTAACTTTGACGTATCGAAAGTGCAAATGAAGCGGAGATTTAAATATCTCACGCTTCATTTGCACAATGGCAGGGGCCGGGCTCTTTTCAGAAAAACCTGGCAGTTTAGACTGGGCATTTTCGACAGAAATGCCCCATTTTGAAAGATCCTGTACTCTTCAAAAATTGGCAGCTGCCATTATGCAAATGACGCATGGGTAGGATATTTAAATCCCCGCTTCATTTGCACTTTCAAAATGTCTAATTTGCATCCCTCTGCCAACAAAGGGGTTTAGTTTAGACAGAAAGGGTATGTCTACACTACCCTCCTAGTTCAAACTAGCGGGGTAATGTAGGCATACCACACTTGCAAATGAAGCCCGGGATTTGAATTTCCCGGGCTTCATTTGCATAAACTGGGCGCCGCCATTTTTAAATCCCTGCTCGTTCGAACCCCGTGCCGCGCGGCTACA